AGATTAAAGTTAGAAAAAATAACAAAAAATGGAACTAAATTGGAAAACGCAATGGATACAACAACGTAAATAACAACAACAACAACAGAAGCAACAGCAGTAACAACAACAACAACAGAAGCAACAACAACAACAGAAGCAACAACAACAACAACGCCTATTGTAATTACAACCACAACTATGAATAACAATAATGATACTAACAATATTAAACGCATTTGCGGAACGATTACACGCAATATATATTAATTATAATATTAATGACAATGAATTGTTTACCCAGAGTAAATAAGACTTAGTTAATAACGGAGACAGTCAATATTTAGTCAGGCTAATTACGAGAGAGAGAGAGAGAGAGAGAGAGAGAGAGAGAGAGAGAGAGAGAGAGAATGTGCACCCTTTAGCAGTGATCCACCAGCAGTGATCCACCAGCAGTGATCCACCAACACTGATCCACCAACATTGATCCACCAAAAGTGATCTACTAACAGTGATCCACCAACAGTGATCCACCAACAGTGATCCACCAACAGTGATCCACCAACAGTGATCCACGGTGAGTTCCTCCACAGACACACTCAGTACACACCACCTTCCCTGCCAGGGCTTAATGGATCCTCTCAGATATTTATACAGAAAAGTGGCACCCGACGTCTTGTGGCACCGAGATCCTTGTAAATGATGCCACTGTATTGGAAGTGGTGCTACTTCCTTGTAAATGGTGGCACTATCTTATAAATGGTGGCACTATCTTATAAATGGTGGCACTATCTTATAAATGGTGGCACTATCTTATAAATGGTGGCACTATCTTATAAATGGTGGCACTATCTTATAAATGGTGGCACTGTCTTATAAATGGTGGCACTATCTTATAAATGGTGGCACTATCTTATAAATGGTGGCACTATCTTATAAATGGTGGCACTGTCTTATAAATGGTGGCACTATCTTATAAATGGTGGCACTGTCTTATAATTGGCGGCACTGTCTTGTAAATTGAGCTACTGTCTATACATGTATATATAAAAATGCATATGTCAGTCACTAGATCTGTAATATTTTTAGCGTCAAGGTATTACTCAGGGTTAAGACACTCGGTAAAATAATTTCTCCCCCCGACGTTAGATGGCGTCTCACTCTATCACACTTTAATTTACATATAAACAATGATAAACAAATAAACAGGGGAATAAAATAAACAATAAAGACATAACAGAGCTCTAACACCCACCATCACATATACTCTCTCTCTCTCTCTCTCTCTCTCTCTCTCTCTCTCTCTCTCTCTCTCTCTCTCTCTCTCTCTCTCTCTCTCTCTCTCTCTCTCTCTCTCTCTCTCTCTCTCTCTCTCTCTATCGGGCAGGAAGGGAACATCAGCCAACACAATAAATTTCCGGGAATACAAAGGTCGGATTTAAAGCTAATATGACGGACAGATATACTCCCTTTCTTTCTTTCTTTCTTTCTTTCTTTCTTTCTTTCTTTCTTTCTCTCTCTCTCTCTCTCTCTCTTTGCTCTCTCTCTATATTTATTGTTTTTATTCTCTTTTTCTCTCTTTTGGTTGTCTATATCCTCTCTCTCTCTCTCTCTCTCTCTCTCTCTCTCTCTCTCTCTCTCTCCTCCTCCTCCGTGGGGACTAGGAACCCTTCCTTATTGCACCTGATCATTAAACACCCTAATGTAATTTCTTTGCACACTAAAACAGGCATAAAACACGTCTAAAACACAGGTCATGGTCAGTAGGCTACCCCTTAGACTCTTCCTGCAATACTTGACCTTCAACACCATTAACCTTTGACCTAAAATACCTGTAATTATCCAGAAACAAGTTTAAGCCTCAATTTGATCTTCGGTCCAAATAGGTTCATGTATTTTGTCTTAATGTCTAGTTTTTCCTTCTGTAATATACGATTCTCGACTTTATTTCCAACGTGGGATAGCATTTTCTTGTTCATTTTCTCTGTTTATCATGAGTATTGTTCTTAGTGTCTAGTTTTTCCTTCTGTAATATACGATTCTCGACTTTATTTCCAACGTGGGATAGCATTTTGTTGCTTATGATGAGGACGTATATTGCGTAGTAAAAGACCGTAAAATTCGACCTAATGACCGAGATGGGCGTAGCATTTTATCGCCCCGGAGTTGTAATGTGGTCTTTTGTGGCCTGTGTGTGTGTGTGTGTGGGGGATGATATTAGGGGAGAGATAATGGTAGTGTTGGGGTGAGGGGAGAAATATATATGATAATGAGGGGGAGAATATACCATTAAATTCCATTCTTTCCTCCCCATTTCTCCCCTCTCTACAGCATCAACTAACCGCCCCTCTTCTCTTTCCTCCCCATTTCTCCCCTCTCTACAGCATCAACTAACCGCCCCTCTTCTCTTTCCTCCTCCCCACCCTCGCCTCTTTTCTAAACCTGTGGATTAACACTTTCCTGCCCCCTTCAACTTAACGCCTCATTATGGTCGTTTATGACGCCAAGTAACTCATAAAAAATCCTCTCTATGATCACAACTTGGTATAGCACCCTCTTGCCACCCCTCCTCGACCATCTTTTCCTCCTCCTCCTCCTCCTCCTCCTCCTCCTCCTCCTTCTTCTCACCCTCCTCCTTCTCCTTCTCCTCCTTCTCCTCCTCCTCTTCTTCTCTCATCACCGAAAATATTCTTCCTGACAATTGAGATGTTGAATTTTCTGTCTGTCTGTCTGTCTGTCTGTCTGTCTGTCTGTCTCTTCCTCTCTCTGTCCCAAGTCTCTCTCTGTCTCTCTCTCTTCCTCACTTGCCTTATATCATACGTCTTCCACCTAAGGGAATCGAACCCCGGCGCCTCAAGCCATCACAGGAGTACAATAACTTTTAAGCCATGGGCCCAAGAGGATGGCCAAGATGAATTTCAAACTATTTATAAGTCGGTGACGCGTTCCTTCCTGCTCACGCTATTATCATATGAGAGAGAGAGAGAGAGAGGGAGAGAGAGAGAGAGAGGGAGAGAGAGGGAGAGAGAGCGAAGGGGAGGGAGAGAGGGGAGGAAGGGAGGGAGAGAGGAGAGGAGAGAGAGGGAGGGAGGGAGGTGAGGTGAGAGAGGAGAGGAGAGAGAGGAGAGTGAGAGAGAGAGAGAGGGAGAGTGAGAGAGAGAGAGAGGTATGACCTGCTCTTCTTTAAATGTCACCAGAGAATTCTTCAACACCATTTTCCTTCATTGTGTCAATTTGGTTAGGTTAGGGTTACTTTGGGTTAAGGTAGGGCCAGGTTAGGTTAAGTTAGGTTTGGTTAAGGATACGTTGGGTTAAGTTAAGTTAGGTTGAGGTAAGATTTTGTCTCTTTTGTTACTACTGATAATGTTGTGAGTTTGGAAAATGAGGAAAGTTTGATGATAAACCTGACAGAAGGAAGAGAGGGGAGAGATTATGAGGGGTTTTATGAGAGAGAGAGAGAGAGAGAGAGAGAGAGAGAGAGATGTAGTGACGAACGACTGACTAGCATTATGGTGATGTAAACACACTGTAACGTCACCTGATGCTATATTATTTTAGGCGTATTAATGTTCACAAAATGTTCCTAATTATCTTGTCAAATAAATAAGAAAGGTCTGTAAGTATAGACGAAATAAACACAATATAAGTTTGAGAAATAAAAGTTCGAAATATCACAGTATTTGGTAAAGACCGCTGAGAGGTGTTAAAAAAAATCAGACGTGAAATATAGCGAGAAGTGCTAAGTTTCTACTGAGAAAGTTAGCGGAGTTCAGAGAATGACAACAACAGGATGAAAAAGTTTGTGTTGTAACATCAATAACAGTACATATTTAGACACCAAGTAGAGCTGTGGGAATTACCTCCTCCACGACATAACCACAAAAATGTTATAACCGAGTGGAAAACTTACCAGAATCGGCCACAAATATTTAGCTATCACTGAATTGTAAACGGGGAACTGGCAACAGGAGCTGAATTCCAGAAGAGGAGGAAGTTAGCAAAATCCGCTGTATGGCATCACCAACACCAAACCAAAACTGAGTGAATATATTTGTAAAACCAGACCCTCATACTTATTGATGAAGGTATTACTGACACGCTCTACAGACACAAACAACTCAATCTGGGCCAAATCTCACCAACTAAGGAAGTTAGCAGAAGCCGCTAGCCCACAACTTCATAAGTTAGCGGAGGTAAGTCTTGCAAATCCCGCTGAGTCTCGCGCCCGTCAATCACCAGCTAAAGTTTAGCTTCTTGAAGGTCGCCACTGCATGAGGATGTGTGTGTGTGTGTGTGTGTGTGTGTGTGTGTGTGTGTGTGTGTGTGTGTGTGTGTGTGTGTGTGTGTGTGTGTGTGTGTGTGTGTGTGTGTGTGTGTGTGTGTGTGTGTGTGTGTGTGTGTGTGTGGAGCATTGCCCGGAGCATACCAGATGATAATAGGTGAAAGAGGTTTGTCTTATGTCATCAGCTCACAACACTAGGGGAGTAATTATGTCTTGAGGTAACACTATAATTAATGTTTTTCATAATACAACTATTAAAAATTTTCCTCTGTGACGTAAAACTCAAAATTATGGCGTCTTGTGATCAGGTAGTGGGTGGGATTTGAGGGATTGAGTGAGATTAGGCAGATTTGGGAAGGCGGCTGGGATTAGGGAGGAGGAGGAGGAGGAGGAGGAGGAGGAGGAGGATTAGGGAGGCTGGAGAGGGAGGAGTAGGAGGAGGAGGAGGAGGAGGAGAGGAGGAGGAGGAGGAGGAGGAGGAGGATTAGGAAGACTGGAGGGGAGGGTGAGTGGGATTACTGAGGTTAGAGAGGGGGAAGAAGAAGGAAGAAATGGAAGAGGAGATGAAGAGAGAGAAAGAAAATGAGGAAGAGACGAAGGAAGAGAAGAATAAGAAAGGGATTAGGGAGTCTGAAGGATAAGGTAGAAGAGGAATGGGATGACTACACTTAATACAAGAACTACATTTGCTACACACACACTGAAACACAATACAACAAGAGAGTCTTTAAAGCCTTACCTTACCCCATTGGAGGAGACGACTTGGCAAACCTCGCTGGTCAACACAACCTGCACCACCTGACGCCTGCCATCTTCACTACACCTGGCCCAGCTGCCTTGGTATAATAAAACAACAATTAATTGACCATAAATCACATTCATTTCTCACTATGTATAGAAAGTCTCTAATTGATGTTAAAAAAAAATACTCGAGGTTATGAGATGGAGGGTGATGTTGAAATTACTAAACGAACAACTGAGTGGTTCAATATACCTCAGAAGTTCACTACACCGGTACAATACATCCCAGAGGCTCACTACACCGGTTCAATACACCCCATATGTTCACTACACCGGTTCAATACACCCCAGAGGCTCACTACACCCCAGAAGTTCACTACACCGGTTCAATACATCCCAGAGGCGGTTCAATACACCCCATATGTTCACTACACCGGTTCAATACACCCCAGAGGCTCACTACACCCCAGAAGTTCACTACACCGGTTCATTACACCCACAAGTTCATAACACCGGTACACAACAGGATCTAAAAACACGGAATATTTACACACAGAGTTTAGCAACATATCTCAGACCGAGGCGTGAGTAAACCGCATTTTTCTCACGCTTCTAAAACTTCATTAACCTTCTTTCTTGTTTATCGGGACAAACGTCAAATAAAGATAGCGGAGAATAAACGAGTCGTGCCGTATATAAAGGGAGGAATGTCAGGGAATTTTTTTTTTTAGTTAGTTTCAAAAAATGTGGAAGGAGGTGTGTGTGTGTGTGTGTGTGTGTGTGTGTGTGTGTGTGTGTGTGTGTGTGTGCGCAGCTTATATTGGTCTGTTTGTATCTGTCTGTCTCTCTCTCTTTCTCTCTTTCCTTTCCTCCTCGGGTCTCTCTCTCTATCTCTCTCTCCTCAGCTCCCTCCCTTTCTGCTTGCCTCTCTCCTTGGTCTCTCTCTCTCTTGCTATATAAATATCTCTCTCTCCCACTCTCCCTCCCACCTAGATATCTCTCTCTCTCTCTTTCTCTTTATCCTTATTTCTCTATCTCTATCTCTCACACACTGATCTGAGGCCTCGAGAGTAACCAACACACAAGCTCTGGTGGATTTTAAACCACTTAAACACCGCGAAGTTGAAGCATTAACTCATTAACTCGTGTCAATACGCTGAGACCTGGCTGGCTGACTGACTGACTGGTTGGCTGGCTGACTGGTTGGCTGGCTGACTGGTTGGCTGGCTGACTGGTTGGGTTCTCGAATTACAAACAAGACAGGGAACACATAAAATATACAAGGGGAGTTTTTGTTACTAAATGTTTAATCAAGAGTTTACGTGAAGATTAACTCCCCTTCCCTTCCTCTTCTCCCCTTCCCTTCCCTCCTCTCCTCTCCCCCCTCCCTTTTTTCTTCCCTCCATTACTTCTGCCCTTTCCGTTCCTCCCTTCCTTCCTTTCTCCATTTTATTTCACCTGATGATTAAACACTGAGGCCCAGAGAGAGAGAGAGAGAGAGAGCTTTACTCTTCTCTTCCATCCTTGTAAGTGATGTGTCTTGATACTGATCTGATTTAACATAACCTTGACTCGACTTAATCTTACGCACTTCGTCTCTCGCCTGTTCAATGTGTTTACCCTACACCGAGAGACCGGAATCACTGATATTTTAGATCACGAATGTTAATGAGTTGTATCAGACTGCATCCACTCTACTGAAGGAACTAACTGGTAAATAACACTATATAAATTAAGCTTAATAACCGCACTTTAGATAATAATGTGGATTTCTATAAATATTTGAAGATTTCTTGTTATTTAGGACAATTATTCACCCCAATTGATCCAGTCTCTCCACCCAAGTGACTTGTTCTTTGCATCGCTTTAATCCGGTAAGTGAACGTAAGTCATTGAAAAGCCACGTCGAGTGTTCCAATACTGCACTTGAGTTAAGGGATTCCTCTAATAACGGTACACAATATTGACTAGCATATCCATATTTTCCTTAATGCAGAACAATCAACGTTATTACCCTCGTGTGACGTCATCAACTACCTGGGTATATCAGACACTTAAAAAAATATGAAAAAGTTATTGATTCTTGATATTTTTTTTTTTACGTGAAAATAAACCATTGATATATAACTTAAACCTTATGGTAATACAATTAATTTCCTTTTAGTTATCCATAAAAAAAACAACAACAATCTTGAGTATAAATAAAAAAAAAATAACCAACCTTTCGATATATAAATAATAGATGACTCTAACCTCCTTCTTTATGGTATCGGGTATCGGGTATCGGGTATCGGGTATCGGATATATTAAAACGATAAATGTTATGTACTTGAAGTAATGTCTTATCATTATTTTTTTGTGTGTGTGTGTGTGATGTTGTAGGTTATTGGGGTGTGTTGTAGTTCAGTGGTTGTAGTGGTGGTAGTGATGATGATGACACACACACACACACACACACACACACACACACACACACACACACACTATACCTATAACACTGTACACAATATATTCCTGGGTGGTGGAGTGAGAGAGTTATATTACCTGGTCTATATTAACATATTATTAGTGGTTAATGTACAGTGTTATGTAAGGATAATATATGTCATTTGTCTCCCTCAGGTGGCATCAAATACTACCTACTACTGTGGTGGTGTATTAGACAGACAGACAGGTAGACAGACAGACAGACAGACAGACATACAGGTAGACAGACAGACAAACAGGTAGACAGACAGACAGACAGAGACTGACAGACAGACTGACAGACAGACAGGTAGACAGACAGACATACAGGTAGACAGACAGACATACAGGTAGACAGACAGACAGACAGACTGACTGACAGACAGACAGACAGACAGACATGTACACATACGTATCCCTTAAACACATACTTTCATACATATCTGTGTCTATTCCACACACAACTAAACACTGTTCGTTTAATGCACAAACACACTCTGCACCTCCCCAAACACACTCTGCACCTCCCCAAACACACTCTGCACCTCCCCAAACACACTCTGCACCTCCCCAAATACACTCTACACCTCCCCAAATACACTCTACACCTCCCCAAACACACTCTGCACCTCCCCAAACACACTCTGCACCTCCCCAAACACCTCCCCACTTCCTCAATCTCTCCTCATCAACGCAGACAAACACAATGAACTTAACTGGACAATGAAGATGGCTCCCCAGCATGACGGACCTCTGACAAGACCACCAGAACAAATTTGTACACCAACTTTAGCGATAATGTTTTGGGAGGTTTTAAATGTCACTTTTTCTTTTTTTATATCACAATTTTTGGGGTCATTAGGGTTGGTGGGTTTAAAGCCTAAGATTATTGGGGAATATGTAAATTTGTCTAAGGAGAAGGAGGAGGAGCAGGAGGAGGAGGCTGGTTCATATGCGAGTTGACTTGGAGGTGGTAGAGTGGGTGGGTGGGTGACCTAGACCAAAAAATTATGATAAAAATATATGGTTAGGTTAGATGAGTATTGTTGTTAAGTTCTGTATTGTAGTAATGAATAAATCTAATTGAGAACCTTTACAGTAATACACAATAAAATCAATATTTATAACTTAAATCTTTTTAATTACCTTATATGTTGTCGTCAGTTTCAAAATATATCTTATTGTTTTTTCAGAAGAGGGACGTACAATCCAAGACCTGATGTCTGTTAACTACAACTGTTAGACAAAGACTGAAGCAAAGTGATTGTAGTGATAGGTACCTCTTCATTTGTTGATGCTGAATGGCTGCCGTGGTCTAGAACCGTTTAGCAAGACTGGACACTTCCTCCCTTTACTGTGCGACATGTTCCAGCACTCCATCTAGCGGCTGTATTCATTACCTGGAAAATAAGACTTTTTCACACTTATGACTTTCTCTCTTTCCTACGTTTCTAGTACCAGTTTTTGTCTGTTTGTTTCTCTCCGTCTTTTCTCTCTATCTCTCTCTTTGTCTCTCCCTCACTCTCTCTCTCTCTCTCACTTTCCCTTGACTGCCTGTCGTGGACCATAATAGCGGTATATCAAGTTATTAGAAAGCCGTGACGTTTACTTCAGCATGGCAAGAAGAAAAGTGAAATATTACCCCTCATAATTTTCACAGTGTGTTTATATCAGCTTCAACAACACTCTTACCTTCTCTTTCAATTCATTTTACACACACACACACACAAAGTCTTTTTAAACATCACTCACTATCAATTATCACCCTGACTCACTTTGGGTCACTCACACTACTCACCACTCAGACGTAACTCACCCTGACTCACCTTGGGTTACTCACACTACTCACCACTAGTCAGATGTAACTCACTAGCTCATGGAATTTTGCACTCCTTTTCCTCCCCACTCAGACATGTCACCTAGCTCATGGGGTCCTCCACCACCCTCCAGACGCTAACTCTTACAAGCTCACCTTGAAATTTACTCCCTCTCACCACTAGTCAGATGTAACTTAAATCATCAAGAGAGTGACAGGACGCAACATTTCCCTCTTACAGCTGCCAACAAACTGCATCAACATTTCAATGAGTCGCCAACAACTTTTCTCCAGAACCAGACGCAGATGGAACTTCAGTTAATGGTGGAGTTGCTTGCCCGTCGCTAGCTGTGGGTGGGTGGGAGGGTGGATGGAAAGGAAGAAGGGTTGGTTGACGGGAGGGAAGGAAGGAGGGAGAAAGGGAAGGAAGGAGGAAGGAATGGGTGGAGGGAGGGACGGGAAGAAGGAAGGAATGGGGAAATAAATCAGATCAAGAGTGAGAAACAATATATATGTTGTGTTGTGTAAGAGAAACAATTGAGACCCTGCAATTGTGTGTAAATGAGGCAGAAAGTCAGATCAGCAACCTGGGACTTGGTCACATATGGCAGCAGGGTCTACCATTAGTCAACACATTATGCTTCCAATATCTTCCCAGGCGGTAGTACCTCCCTGTTTGGTAGCTGCCTACTACCTACTACCTTCATAATAATCATTAAGTAAAGGCTAAGAAAAACAACTCTTATTTATTGTTAGTTTATGGTCACTTTCCGTTCGGTACAGATCCAGAAAGACAAAAAAAAGTATCGTCTTTTATCATACAATTGTGAAGAATAAAACCTTTTTTTTTTATCTACTAATAATTGGCAGCAACAATTGATATTTTGAAAATACATTATTTTTTGTATATATATCTATATATCTATTACATGTCATTAATACTTAAAAAATAAAGGATAGTGATGTATTTGGAAGTTTGTATCCCGGTTGTTGCCATGTCATTTTATTAATGTCGTTAATCTCGTTCTCTGATTGGCTGAGAAGATCAGGTAACCTCTGACGGCATCAATAAAATAAAATGGCAGAAAGCTCCAGATTTTCCTCTTTTTTTCCCCCGACCACATCCTATGGTACAGAGTTGTCGTGGATTATGGCTTATAAGGGTTAAATCTCTTCCTAACCACGGCGGCATTATTACTATATACTATTTACAAGGAGTGGTACGTCATAAGGTTTAAATTCCTATCCCAACCACGGCCTAAGTTGCCGGCTATTTACATAATGTTTTCAGTTAAGCTTCACATTCTTGTCATCAATATCCGATTTTTTTTTAAATATAATATTTACATAAACGACGAAGGATAATTAATAATGGTCTAAAGTTTTGCTGAGTCACGTCCACTCTGTACAGTCACTGTCTGCTTAACGGACACTGTGCGTTCCTCAAAACCTGTACGTTAACTGGATGTACGTTAATCGTGTGTACGTTAATAGTGTACGTTAATAGAGTGTATGTTAATAGAGTGTATGTTAATCATATGTACGTTAATCGAGTGTACATTAATCAGGTGTACGTTAACTGGGTGTACGTTAATGAGGTGTACGTTAACTGGGTGTACGTTAATGAGGTGTACGTTAACTGGGTGTACGTTAATGAGATGTACGTTAACTAGGTGTACGTTAATGAGGTGTACGTTAACTGGGTGTACGTTAAACGGACATTAACTGTATAATATTTACATTAGTGATTTACTTAAGGTTTTGTTTCCTCTCACCTGCGGCTCTCTTGTGTTATGTTACATAGATGACTCCCTATATTTACCGGATGACTCCCTCTCTATACCGGATGACTCCCTCTCTATACCGGATGACTCCCTCTCTATACCGGATAACTTGTGATATTACGGATGACTCCCTCTATATACCGGAAAACTCGTAATGTTACGGATAACCCCCTCTATTTACCGGATGATTCGTGATATTACGGATGACACGACAATATTACCGATGAAGTGAGATTACCAAGAAATGATGATTCCGTTTATATTATTCCCGTAAAATAACATATATATATATATATATATATATATATATATATATATATATATATATATATATATATATATATATATATATATATATATATATATATATATATTTGTTGAGTAATACTTATAAGAAATGAGGAATATTTCGTGTCATAAATATTCGAGTTAAAGTGACGAAAACATATGTAATATTACCTTTTCTCCTATAGTAATATCTACAACGGTAATATTTCCACTGGGAGGATGTATACGAATCATGAATAATTTAGAAAGATTGTGACAAATGAATGACTCCCTTCCCTAATGAGTTATTACAGCGAGTTGATGAAGAAGGATGGTGACGCAGTACTCACGAGTGCTTGGATAACAACGCATTGATCCGCGTCGCGTGCAAGTACCAGAGGAGACGTTGCAGTACCCATTGTGTGTGTGTGTGTGTGTGTGTGTGTGTGTGTGTGTGTGTGTGTGTGTGCGTGTGTGTGTGTGTGTGTGTGCGTGTGTGTGCGTGCGTGTCAGTAGTTGGCAGTAATTACCTACGGGGAAATATCCTCCATAATGCAAATGTTACCTTCAAAGTCAACACGAGAGCGAAACGGTTGTGAGAACAGTAGTTAAGAGTGGTGAGGGGAGTTGCTTGATAACTTAAAGCAAACAGTTCTTACAGTACCAACAGGAGTGCCACAGGCTGAAGGTATTAATTATCAAAACAGGGACCTGGAGGTGGGTGGGGGAGGGGTTAATGTACCAATCTTACTGTTTGGAACGGAATGATGTAACATAGGGCTCACTGTAACATCACTGAGTGCCAAACTACGCCGAAAAATAACAGTGCCAAATTACGCTGCCAAGAACAAAAATAGATTATGACTTGACTACTACAAGCTCCTGAGTCTCTCCTCGTGGGTTAATTCGTTTAAAATATCACCACAATGTGATATTTTTTACGTTTTCTGTCTCTTTACAATAGGTCAGCCGCTACACTACTACAGTTTCTCTATTAATAAACACATAACATAACTGCGAGACATTAGAGAGACATTAGACTCTTAAAATCACAAATGTTGTAGTTGTTTACAATAAGAACGCCTCACCACAGACATGATATAGACATTTGAACAAAGCTTATACAAAAACGTAGCTTCAATGTCTCACTTATGACTTAAAGAGATGGTCCTGTTGTTATAATTTCTGCCTGTGAAGATAACCGTTATTTACAAACACATCGCCATAAGGTAACGTTCAAATGCGGAGACAAACATTCACTCACATATTAATAACTACATAACACATTAAATGAATAAATGTGGATGTAGAATATATCCAAGACGTGAAATGAATAAACTGAACATGGATTAAAATTATTTGATCTTATTAATGAATTCAGATTAAATTTTTGTATCATTTTATCCGCCTAAATAAAACTGATATTTTTGTATATTTTATCAATTAGAATATTTATTATAACCGACTGTACAATTATATATAGAGCAAAAATTACGCACTATTAATTTACCAAAAAATTCTTCAAAACAAAACAAAATATAATCCAAATTTTCCTTTACGAATTTAATGACAAAAAATATTATCCTTGATATTCTATTTCTCACGAGAAGGAATTATTAAACATCTAAATATTAACGATACATAATAGGTCATTAATATCTCATTCATTCACTGGTCCATTATCCAAACCTGGGTATTCATTCTCAAAGGTGTGTAGTTTTAAGAATCGTCCAAACTTAAGATTCAAGAGCGAACATGACTGGTTGACTTACGAGAATATTAACTAAATCAATAAACAACAGCCAAGAATAACATCAACACCATATACACTCTACAATAATTAAATACATAAACTTAATTAATTCTGGAAATAAAAAAATAACATAATCGTTCCATAGATTATTAAATTTAACTCTAAAATAATTCACTTGAGGTTTAACCTAACATATACAGGTAAGGACCTTTGACTCTCTGGACTGATCCAATATGTTGAAGATCCAGTTTACGTAAAAGATAAATGCTATTAATTCAGTCTCACGTAAGAGAGAATAGCACTTATGAAAATATTACAATAACAATACAAACAGAACTCCAATCATACGTAATACTCTGAAATATATTACTGATTAATACTCAAAACAAAGATGATGCTCTGAAATATACAAGTAAGTATTATTATCTGATCTAAAACTGAGTCATACTTGAGAACTTCCGGTTGCTGATTCTTAAAATAGATCTGTGTTATGATAAGACTATTGATGTCTATTAGGTATTACAAATTTACACACTGATGACGTTTGTGTTGTGGTTGATGAGAGTTGAAGAATTGATGATTAACTGAAGTCACAACTATTGAAATTCAAATCAATATTGCAATTTGTCACACAACGTCATCAAATAAGGTCATAAAATATCAATATTAAAAAGTATGGAATTCAGATATTAATTCATATTATGAGTATGATGCCTGAAAAAAAAATACCAGTTATTAAAAATCCGGATTTTTCATTAGTTTTAAAGATTTTTTCTTATAGAGTAAATAAAGGTTTAATTACGGTGTTTATTTTGTGTTTAATTGGTTTATGGTTTAACCTCAACATCTGATCTTGTTTTATGATTTGTTGAATGTTGAGTTTTATGTTGTTTAATGTTGCTGATTTATGTATGTATGACTCTCTCTCTCTCTCTCTCTCTCTCTCTCTCTCTCTCTCTCTCTCACGTCTCCTAGTATACTTTCTCTTGATTATATTATTGTACACACACACACACACACACACACACACACACACACACACACACACACACACACACACACACACACACACACACTTACTGTTATATATCAAATACTTTTCCTCCCCTTCACATTGTTATTTCTGTACACAAAAAATCCCTAACGAAACACACACTCTGTAACACAAAGGTCAAACTACACTCAATATATAACACAATTTGCATATTGAGTATAACACTAATTGTTTATCTTGTGTAATAGAGAGAGTGAGAGAGAGAGAGAGAGAGAGAGAGAGAGAGTGTGTGTGTGTGTGTGTGTGTGTGTGTGTGTGTTGGGTGATAATGATGAACAAACAACAAAAACATTACAAAAACAAAAACAAAAACACATTTTAGTGGGTTACATAGAGACAAGAACAAGAACAATGTAACCCATATATAAACACACACATATATACCTAAGATTACGGATATATAAACTCCATATATCCCCAAATGTCATATAAATTTATATCATCGTCTATACTGCATTACTACTACACTAAATACATCTTATAATACATCTTTCACTACAGCCTATAATAATTATAATACAACTACTCTATTGGAAATACAGTGAGCATTATCAGTACTGTATGAACGACGTGAGCAGCGGTATAAGTGTTTGTCTGTACACCGCGGGAGAATCACCCTTAAGAACACCGTATATAAGAGTGATTATAAACCAAATTCACTACTCGGTCATACACCATTGTACCCGCCCTGTATTATACCAGAAATTCTATATCTTTTGTGGTATTTTCATCATATATTTTTCCATACGAGACATTATTGTATTAATATATGATTGTTTGTATATTCCCTCCCCTAAAAACAATCATTGTATTTTTTGTACAATAATAAAGTGACTGAGTTCCCATATACAATTCCTCAGATACAAGAAGTTATAATTTTCAATATCCACAACACAAAAAAAAAACCAATAATAATAAAATAAAAATAAATTACATGTTTTGTACAATTTTCTGCATCACAGATATTATATAAATGTTTATTAATTATGTTTTCTATCTAAATTAAATGTTTATTCTTGTGTATATTTTTCTAAAGGTTTAATAGCAATAAATTGTTTGTTTGTTCGTTCACAGAAAAAGCGTAAGATACAATACTTATTTTTAATTATGTATGCCATTATAGAGTATAGTTCACAGTGTAAAGTTCACTCGTGTATATTTCGTATCTTTCATATTCTGCACAGCACTGATATATACAACGAGTGTATTGTATATTGTGTATATTTCTCACATAACATATACGTACACACCTCGTCTGGCTGTGGTGTTGAACTATACTGAACTGTACATATTAGTCCATGTACATACACCTGGTTTAGTGTCTTAGATTAGTATATTTCACTACTGTAATCATAGGTTGTATATTTCAGTATATTTCAGTCATATTCTCATGTAGTCTATATTTCAGTAGCTGGCTCTTGATCACCTTGATATATTCACGAGCACGAAGATATATTTCACATATTCACTGGATAATACATTAATATTTTTCACCTACTTAAAGTTCTTTCCTTAATTAGGTCTTTGTAAAGGATTATGCTCCGCTTAGGTCTTCATAAAGGTATATATATGATCCGGTTAGGTCTTTATAAGATATATATGCTCTGGTCAGGTCTTTGTAAAGGATATATGCTCCGTTAAGGTCTTTATAAAGGTATGTATGCTATACTTAAGTCTTTTTAGAGGTATGTATGCTCTACTTAGGTCTTTATAGAGGTATATATGCTCTGGTCAGGTCTTTTAGAGGTATATAAATTATCCTAGTTCTTTATAAAGCTCATATATATTCCTCTTAGGTCTTTATAAGGGATATACAGGTCTTAGATCTCTGTAAAGCATATAATGGAATTCTCAAATCACTAGAAATTATAAAAGCAACGTAGAAAACACTACAGAACGTATAAATGTGGCTGAACGGCTAAGATAACGTAATAAAACACACGTTCTTTTAATATACAATAGCCTTCTAACACCAGTGTAAACAAAATAAATGAATGTTCCGACCCACACACGTTCACCTACCAACCTACGGACAGTATAAATGCTTCGAATGGCTAACAGAACGTAAGGAAACACTGCGGAACGTATAAATGCGCTAAAAGGCTAAAATGACGTAAGGAAACACACGTTCTTTTAATCAGGGAGGAAATGACGACAGTTGGGGGAAACTCTTTTAATTTGGTGGTCGACCTGGCGGTGCAGAGGATGAGTAGTAGAGGTGAGGTGAATACTGGCCAAGTTTTGGACTGAGAGGTCTGTCTGTCTGCCTGTCTGCCTGTCTGCCTGTCTGTATCTGTCTATGTGTGTCTGTCAGTCTCTGTGTCTGTATGTTTCTCTGTCTGTCTATTTTTCTGTTTGTCTTTATATGTTCCTCTGTCTGTATCTGTCTAATTCTGTTTCTGTTTATCTCTATGTCTGTCTGTCTGTGTGTTTCTTATGTCTATGTCTGTGTCTGTTGTCTGTTTCTCTGTCTGGACGTACAAACGTGTTCTGATCGGGAAAACAAAGAGTACAAATATGTTCTGATCGGCATAACATAACGTATTTTCAAGCCACATAACGAATGTATAACAGCGTCTTGTGATCAATGTTACCTTCATTATAAATTGCATAGCTCAAAATTGCTCTGTAATAGACCAGAGTGCAGAGCATATATATGGTATTCTGAGTGGTAGAGCAATCAGAGGTCTGAGTGTTTAGTAATCCGTCTCTGAGTCACGGATCATCTCTTATATCTTAGTTATGGTTAGGTCAGGTCAGATTAGGTTAAGTTTACAGCTGTATACCGTAAGATTTACAGATGTACGTCCTTTACAGCTGTATATGTGGTCTACAGCTGTAGATGTGGACTACAGCTGTGCATGTGGTCTACAGCTTTACATGTGGTTTACAGCTGTGCATGTGGTCAACAGTTGTACATCACATGGTCTACAGCTGTACATCACATGGTCTACAGCTGTACATGCGGACTACAGCTGTACATTATATGGTCTACAGCCGTACATGTGGACTACAGCTGTATATCATATGGTCTACAGCTGTACATGTGGACTACAGCTGTACATAATGTGGACTACAGCTGTACGTGTGGACTACAGCTGTACATCATATGGTCTACAGCTTTATATCAAATAATCTACAACAATACAAGTGATCTACAGTGATACTTCCTGGACAGCTTATCTACAGCTGCACATCTGGGACGTCTTGAAGAGGGCCATTGGTGGCAGGTGTGGCCGGGGAGGGGGCCAGGGTGAGTGTGGCCCCGCAGCGGTGGTCAGGCAGGCAACAGGAGGCAGGGCAGGTCTGGGTGCCACTCGAGGATCTTGGATGAGAGGCGCAACCCATCGTCCTCAACTTCTCGTGTAGCTCGTAGTCTAGTGGGAAGATCACTGCTGAGAGAGAGAGAGAGAGAGAGAGAGAGAGAGAGAGAGAGAGAGAGAGAGAGAGAGAGAGAGAGAGAGAGAGAGTGAAGACATTACAATTTACATAATGAAAGAAAATAACAGATTACTACAAATAGTCTAAATTTGTAAATATATACAGGTATATAAATAAATATAATCACACAAACACACACACACAGACACCCCCCCCCCCACACACACTTGATGGCACAGTACGAATCTCCTAACACACAGTGATAAAGAGTTAAAGTTACTCTCTCAATGATGTTCGTTTGTCTCTCTGAAGGGGTAAAATAGTGTAATATATAGATAAAGTTATATTAATCCCCCGAAGTTGTCGTACGTGGAGAAACAAGTAACTTTTATACGAAATTTCCTCCGAATTCTGGTCCAATGTTTACGTAATCTTACTCGAAAAGGAAAAGTGATCGTATGTTAATTTTCACCATAAGTCGTGTTTTTATTTGTGGAATGCTTAAAGTTTTTTGTTTTATTTAGGAGCTAAGTTTGTTGTCTAATAGATTTCAGACCATTAAACCCTTTGTTATTATAATTTAGTGGCTGTTATCGTTGTTATGGTGTCAGAGGGTGAAAAAAGTATCGTAATCTTCACGCTGTCGTCTGTAAAGGTTAAGTTATCGTACGGGCCAGAATGTCAATATGGTAATGTTTATGTTTACTTAAGATAAATGTTGCCCTATGTTATCTCTCTCCTTCTCTCATGTATTCTTCACACACACACACACACACACACACACACTTTCTCTCCCTCATTCATTCTCCTTAACACCTAAAAACATACTTACTCCCCCTCCGTCTCTCACCCTCCCCCTCTCTCTCTCACTCACCCTCCCCCCCTCTCTCTCTCTCTCTCCCCGTACCTTCACTCTGGGTGCCTGAGTCGACTCGCTGGGATGAGGATGAGAGATTGTTCTTGATGGCGGAATACTTGGCGGCGGGCATCATGGATTGCCTGACGTTCCTCTCCGGGTGTAAGAGAATAATGTAAAGTTTGGGGGTGAAGAGACACGCTAAAGCCACTGTTGCCGATAGGGAGATGGTCACTGAAGTGGTGGTGATCCGTAGCTGTGGGAGAGTGAGGGAGAGAATGTGAGAGAGTGAGGGAGAGTGGGAGGGAGGGAGAGGTGGTGGGAGGATGTAGGAATGAGGGAGACGAAGTGGGAGTAAGGGAGAGTGAGGGAGAGTGGGTGGGAAGGCAGGGAGGCTTATATTAGTTACTGTAGCTGAGGGCGAGAGATGGTCACGAACTTGGTAGTAATATGTAACTTTGTGGGAGAGAGAGAGAGAGAGAGAGAGAGAGAGAGACTCACTCACCTCCACATTGTTAGCAGTAGAGAAGTAGATCGGGACGAAAGCCAGCCAGATGATACAGGTTGTGTACATGGTGAAGCCGATGTACTTGCTCTCGTTAAAAGCCTCCGGGATCTTCCTGGTGAGGACGGCGTAGATGGTGCACACTATGATCAGTCCTGGTGGAGAGAGAGAGGGAGAGAGTGAGTGGGAGAGAGAGGGGGAGGCTATGATCAATCCTGGAGGAGAAAGAGAGAGAGAGAGCGAGAGAATGAGTGGGAGAGAGAGGGGGAGAGAGAGGAGAGTGAGTGGGAGAGAGATGGGGAGGCTATGATCAATCCTGGAGGAGAAAGAGAGAGAGAGAGCGAGAGAATGAGTGGGAGAGAGAGGGGGAGAGAGAGTAAAAGAAGAAAAAATGGTTGAACATATATGGAAGAGAGGAAGAAAGAGAGAGAAAACGAGAATGTGACACAGTGGGGAGACTCACCTATAGGGTAAGCGAAAGCGATCATGTAGGAGGCGTTGATGGAGGCAGCGCACACCAGGAAGTTGTCCTCCCTCACCAGGTAGTGATGAATGGCTCTGGGGGGACTCACCACCCACCACACCCCCGTGATCACCACCTACCACGGGCACCAAGACAGATTAGGTTCAATACACGCAGTCACCACACCACTACTACAGTCACCACAGTCACCACACAGCTTATACAGTTACCACACCCTTACCACAGTCACCACATACCACTAACAGTCACCACACCACTACTACAGTCACTATTCATAACAATATTACTACTACTACTACTAGTACTACTTTTCACTACCACCACCACCACTTATACTACCACTACCACCATCTCCACCCACCACTACCACCAACCTCCACCACCACTACCACCATCCTCCACAACCACTACCACCACCTCCACCACCACTACCACCACCTCCACCACCACTACCACCACCTCCACCACCACCACCACCACCTCCACCAACAACCATACCCTCACTAACGAGAACACTTCCACAAACTACCCCCGAAATACATAACCAACTCTCCCCTACAACTTTATCTTCCTCACTAAATAGCAAGTACCATTTTTTTTCCACCAGCAATACAGAGTCCCAGAGTTCGATACCCAGAGACTTCATTATATCTGCCTCCCCTTTCACCCGTCACCTACAGAACCAGAGCTACAGATCATCACCAGATATCATTATACCTTATAATTGTTTTTATGTAGAAGTTTTTGTAGGTTCTTTCTATATTATCTATTACTACAGTTACTACAGTTACAGTTATTATCAGTTCACCCCAGTTAAGCTACAGTTACTATAGCTATTGTTACTACCAGTTAGCATCACCATATATACGCCATTATATCTGTACCATCCTCATATACCTGTAGTATTACCCTCACACATCTGTACTTATTACCACACACCTGTACCTACTCCCACACACCTGTACTTACTCCCACACACCTGTATCCCCACACACCTGCATCACCCCCCCCAAACACACCTGGATAGAGACGGTACAGAAGCAGATACAGAGCTGTGAGCGCGGGGAGATGAAGGAGGGTCTCTTAGCCGTCCTCTTGCCGGCGTTGAAGATGCGAGATATTCTGTTGGTCTTGGTGAGCAAGGCGCTGTACACCACGGCGAAGCAGAACCCCAGCCCGAACCTCTGAACCCCACACACCACCGCCGACGGCTGACCGATCACAAACAAGATATACATTATTTTAGTAAAGGTTTTTTAATTAAGGGGGTCATTACACATAGCTCCTGAAGAAGGGGTCAAGTACACACAACTCCTGAAGAATGGGTCATATACACACAGCTCCTGAAGAAGGGGTCATTACACATAGCTCCTGAAGAAGGGGTCATATACACACAGCTCCTGAAGAAGGGGTCATTACACATAGCTCCTGAAGAAGGGGTCATTACACATAGCTCCTGAAGAAGGGGTCATATACACACAGCTCCTGAAGAAGGGGTCATTACACACAGCCCTGGAAGAGAGAGAAGGGGTCAAATCTACCTAACTCCTGAAGAAGGGGGAGTCAAGTACACACAACTCCTGAAAGAAGGGGGTCAAGTACACACAGCTCCTGAAGAAGGGTCATTACATAGCTCTGAAGAAGGGGGGTCAAGTACACCTAACTCCTGAAAGAAGGGGGTCATTACACATAGCTCTGAAGAAGGAGGTCAAGTACACAGCTCCTGAAGAAGGGGTCGTACACATAGCTCTGAAAGAAGAGGTCCAGTACACACAGCTCCTGAAGAGGGTGTGCAAAGCTCCTGAAGAGGGTCAAGTACACACAACTCCTGAAGAGAGGGTCTCACACAGCTCCTGAAGAAGAGGTCATATACAGCTTTCCTGAAGAAGGGGTCAAGTACACACAATCCCTGAAAGAAGGGGTCATGCATAGCTCCTGAAGAAGGGGGTCATATACACACAGCTCTGAAGGGGGGGGGGGACCTCAAACCAACATAACATACCTTGAGAACAAAAACAAAGGTGATGGCGTAGCAGAGGAAGACGCCAGAGAGGAGGACGTAGGAGAGCTCCCTGCCCGAGGCTCTGACCACGGGCGTGTCGTGATGGCTGAAAAACACCCACACCACCACGCCCGTCATCACCACGCCCAACGAGGAGAACAACATTGCTCCTATTGCCCACCACGAATCTGGTCTGATGTATACCTGGGAGGGAGAGAGTGAGGGAGAGAGTGAGGGAGAGTGTGAGGGAGAGTGTGAGGGGGAGAGTGAGGGAGAGTGTGAGGGAGAGTGTGAAGAAGGATTCAAGAGGTTAAGTCATCACACTCAAGGGGTTAAGTCATCACACTCAAGGGTTAAGTCATCACACTCAAGGGGTTAAGTCATCACACTCAAGGGGTTAAGTCATCACACTCAAGGGGTTAAGTCATCACACTCAAGGGGTTAAGTCATCACATTCAAGGGTTAAGTCATCACACTCAAGGGTTTAAGGTTAAAAGCAAGAATGAATAAATTTACATGGCGGAAATGAGAGCGAACGTCGAGGTAGGGGAAGAATATTGTTAAAGTGAGAGAGAGAGAGAGAGAGAGAGAGAGAGCGAGAGAGAGTCATTGTTTCCATAGACTTACACGGGCATCTTCCCTAGAACATTGGTGGTAGACACAACTAATACACACACACACACCCACACACACACACACACACACACAAAATACAATATACATGCACACAATCACAGGGAAATATACATATATACATTATACACATCTATGCATCCTCTCTCTCTCTCTCTCTCTCTCTCTCTCTCTCTCTTTGACTTTATCTTATATTCACTCTCACTATTTTCACTCCCACTCCCACTCTCTCTCTCTCTCGCAGTTACTCCCACTCTTTCTTTCGTCCCTCTCAGTTTTACTTCACCACGGAGATGAGGTTACGGTGTGAGTGGTCAGCTGAGGGGCACTATCCTCCCTCTGTCTCTCTGTCTTCCTGTCTGTCTCTCTGTCTGTGTTTGCGTCTGTCTGTCACTCTGTCTGTCTCTCTCAGTTTCACACACACTCTCACACACTCTCTCAATCTCACACGCACTTATACACTCCATCACTCTCACACACTCACATACACACACACACACTCCCTGACTCACACACACACACACACTCACCTCAGGGATTTGATTACAGTGTAGATGGTCAATGGATGGCAGTGTCCCCCAGTCACAGTTTATACACCGGGTTGGATCCACTGGACTAACGATCTGTAATGACAAGAACCACTCAATTAACCCACTAATTACCTCTACCTGTCGCTAATTGCTTCATCCTGTTGTTAATTATCTACATCTGTTATTAATTACCTACCTACTAATTACCTGCATCTCCACTAATCACCTGCATCGCCACTAATCACCTGCATCTCCACTAATCACCTGCCTCTCCACTAATCACCTGACTCTCACTAACTTCTCAAGGGTCATCGAGGCTGGAATTATTACATAAGTTGGTCACACCCCGCAGGATGTGATCGATTATACTCTGAGATGTTTATGGAACAGTGCTAGAGGGAGACTCACCTGGTGTATGGAGCAGTGCCACAGAGAGACTCACCTATGGAACAGTGCCACAGAGAGACTCACCTATGGAACAGTGCCACAGAGAGACTCACCTATGGAACAATGCCACAGAGAGACTCACCTATGGAACAGTGCCACAGAGAGACTCACCTACGGAACTGTGCCACACAGACTCACCTGGTAGGTAGAACAGTTGAAACAGTGCCAGCAGCAAGACTCGCCCTCCACGTACTTCTTGGCCTGGCCGATGTAGCAAGGCAGGGAACACACGCTACTCGGCGGTGACGGATCATCCAGCTTGAACTGTATGGCTGACACGAACCGGAATTATTTTACTGTGTGTGTGTGTGTGTGTGTGTGTGTGTGTGTGTGTGTGTGTGTGTGTGTGTGTGTGTGTGTGAATAATTGCATTCTTTATACTTCAATATATACTGTACATATAGATTAATATAGACAGCTCTAGTATCTTCACCACACTGCCACACCACCACACCACCACCACTCCCGTACCACACCACCACCACACCACCACCACACCACTACCACACTACCACACCTCCACAGCTCGACTCACCACTCATGTTAAGCTTCAGTAGACCTTCGACGTACTGGCCGACAGTGACCCAGGAGTAAACGCCAGGTGAGATTTGCTTGAAGTGAATAATATTGTACCTCGCTGGCCCGTCCCCCTGTTGGTCAAATTTAAACCTGTCTCCGCTGAGTCCTGTGGGAAGGTAGAATTGTGTAATTAAGGTAAGGTGTGTAATTAAGGTGACGTGTGTAATTAAGGTGACGTGTGTAATTAAGGTAAAGTATGTAATTCAGGTATGGTTATTATTATTATTATTATTATTATTATTATTATTATTATTATTATTATTATTATTATTATTATTATTATTATTATTATTATTATTATTATTATTACAGTTATTATTATCATTATTATTAATTAACGGGTAATAATAATGATACTTAATTAATATCTATTGTTACTGACTTCTGCTCCCTCCCTCCTTCCCTCTCCTTCACCTCTTTCCCTTCATTCCTCCCTCTTCCTTCCCCTTTCCTCTCCTCCCCACATCTGTCCCTCTCACCCCTTTCATCTTCTCCCTCCCTCCCCCTCAACACTCACCTGTAAACATCACCTTCCTCAGGTAAGACAACAGCTGCTCACCGTCTATAGGCTGCATCTCATCACACAGGCCTTTACCTCCTCTGCAAAGCTTCTGGTGCATGTCTCTGTAGGTGGACACGGGGATATAGTGTGGATATGGTGATGGTATGGTGATATGGTGATGATATGGTGATGGTATGGTGATATGGTGGTGATATGATGATGGTTTGGTGATATAGGTGACATGGGTATTATCTTTAAGTTTCTTTCTTTCTTTCCCTTGCTATGTATATCTCTCTCTCCCTTTCTCTCTTTCTATCTCACATATCTCCCTGTGTGTGTGTGTGTGTGGGTGGGGCTCTGACTGTCTCTCTCTCTCTCACAGCTGGAGATAAACACAGTAAGTCTGGTCATTTCTCTTGGTAAGGTGCACTCTGCCTGACCAATCTAATACAATATACGGTAAAGTCAGCTCTCTCTGTCTCTCTCTTTCTCTCTCTCTGTTCACTAAAAGCAAGACTAATTTCTCCTCAGTGTTTCCCCCTTTCTCTCTCTTTCCTTCTTTGTCTCTCTTTTGCTGTCTCTCTCTCTCTCTCTCTCTCTCTCTCTCTCTCTCTGTATCTCAAAGGTATGGTAATTAATCCTCAGCACACACACACACACACACACACACACACACACACACACACACACACACACACACACACACACACTACCACACAATCTTCTATGCATAGGTGAAGAATATTATTGAGAAAGTCTACGGTCTTTACCACCCACGTTTCACTACCTATGGTCATGTAACTTACCTTCACACACACACACACACACACACACACACACACACACTACACAACCCAAGCAGCACTGGGACTGGAATTGGTAGTGAATTGAATTTAAACTAAATGGAAAACTAGATTGAACGGAATAGGATGACTGGAACGGCACAGGAATGAAGTGATGTAGTGGCTGGGAATTTCTCTCTCTCTCCCTACTGAAAGACTTGGGTTGGGGCGGGGGGGTCCTTAGAGTGATAGAGATAGGTGTTAGAGCTATTGTTAACGCCCCATACCCATTCGATGGTGTTGGAACGGAAAGTGACTGTTCTTATTGGGATGTTGTAGACTAAGTTTCCAGCCACTTACCATAGGTTCTGGATTTGGAGTGAGACTATAGAGTGATTTTTAAAGGATTTTGATGTTCTTGATGTATTTTATAGGTCTCTCTCTCTCTCTCTCTCTCTCTCTCTCTCTCTCTCTCTCTCTCTCTCTCTCTCTCTCTCTCTCTCTATTTCAGTAGAAAATAATAATATTACGCTTTTCTTTATATTACTCAACCATATTTCGTTAAAATTTTGGTATATATGGATATACAGTTGAATACGACTTATACACATAAACAGACACACACACACACACACACACACACACACACACACACACACACATACAAATTACACACCCACACCCCCCTACACCCACACATACACAAGACCCACCTGAAGGCGTAGCCGAAGGACATGACAGCATCAGACACGAACTGGAGCTGGGCCTCAAATTGGGTGTTCTTGTTGGTGAGCTTCTCCTCTCCCGTGCACGTCCTGTTGTAGGCGCCGTTGTAAGGTGTCCGAGAGCTGTTAGGGTAGCGGCACTTAAAATGGTCCTCCCAGTATTCTGTTGGGGAGAGTGAGAGCTGGGTGAGAGGTGGGGGAGAGGTGGGGGAGGGGTGTGAGAGGGATGGTGGAGTGGAGGAGGGTGAGAGTTAGGAGAGGTAGGGGGAGGAGGAGGAGGAGGTGGTGGTGGTGGTGGTGAAATGGAGGAGAAGGAAGAGGTGAGAATAGGAGAGGAGAAGGTGGTAAGGTAAGGTAGGGAGGGAGAGGAGGAGAGAGAGCTAGGTAATGTAGGAGAGTGTGGGATATTGTGGGAGGGAGTGTGGGAGAGTATGGGAGAATGTGGGAGAGCGTGGGAGAGTATCCGAGGTCCTATCCTTTCATCATAAACGGTATAAATCTTATAGTTCACTGATTTCAGCCGATTTTTAGTTGAAACTTGACAGAGACATCGGTAATCTCTCCCCAAAAATATTGGCATTGGTTGGAAAATAAGCATAATCCGATTACAATTTTGGCGATTTGACGGTCAATACTTTCACGAAGTTTCTAAAAAAACGACAACTTTAATTTTTTTTTCTTTAATGTTCTCAGCCAGCGATGTTTCCTCCTCCCCCTTCCCCTTCCTCTCTTTCCCTTTCCCTTCCTCCCCTTCTCCTCCTCTCCTTCACTTCTCCTTCTTCCCACCTCTTCCCTCTCACTTTTCCTCCTCCCCGCTTCTCCTCCTCCCCTTCTTCTCCTTCCCTTTCCTCCATAAGTCATCGTACACAAAGGGCTGAACCATTAATTAACCTCAATGAATTAAACCATCGTCCTTACTTTAAGCCAACCTCCCCCCCCCCAAAAAAAGTTAAACCACCATCGTTCTAAAAAAAGTTAAACCTTTGTCCTAAAATGGTTAAGTTTTGCCGACAGATTATTTTTTACGTGGAATATAAAACAGAATTCTTAAAGGAGATTCAGGATATAGTTAAGAAGTAGGAAAATGGCGGGCGAGGGTTGAACTGTATCGGAATATAACATTTTAGCATAGAATTTTAACATAGCATCATAGTATAGCAGTTTAACAAAGCATTTTAACAGCGCGTCTTAACATTGCATTTTAACATAGACTTTTAACATAGCATCGTGACATAGCACTTTAACACAGCTTCTAGAAAGTTAGGAGAGAACGCAATATAACACAACAGAATACAACAGAACCCCCACAGCAGAACACAGAAGAACACAGAAGAACACAGAAGAACACAGCAGAACACTCACCAACGAACCAAGGATTTCTTCTGTTGTTCTCCACAGTCAGTCCCAGAAAGTACCTGTCAAAGCCACGGACAGGGTTGGCCTGTGGCTGTACCGACAGTGTCCCCTCCACCTCCGGCTCGTTACCTGTAGGGAAGTGTCGCTGGTAAGTATTGGGGAAGTGTCACTAAATGCCATTGGTAAGTACTAAATCTAGAGAGTGTCATAAGGAAAGTGATATTGTAAACAAGAAAGTGTCAGTTGTGAGAGAGAGAGAGAGAGAGAGAGAGAGAGAGAGAGAGAGAGAGAGAGAGAGAGAGAGAGAGAGAGAGAGAGAGAGAGAGAGAGAGAGAGAGAGAGAGAGAGAGAGAGAGGTTACCTGGTTGGTTCACTTCATCCATTGTTAGTAAAGAATGGAAAGACGTTCTAATATTTCCCAGCTTAGTTCCGGTTCGTGTAGTGGTGGGCAGAGGAGGAGGAAGAGGATGATGATGAGGGAAAGTAGGAAAAAGAAATTAAATGGGAAATGGATGGATAGGAAGGAAGGGGAGGAGGAGGAGGAGGAGAAGCAGCAGAAGTGAGGAAGGGAAGAAAGAAGAAGGGAAGGAAGAGGTGAAGAAGAAGAATAAAAAACAGATACTCTCTTCCATAATAATCACAGCTGCTATACAGGTACCTCCTCCTTTCACCTCTGACACTACCCCAGGTCACCCCAGCACTAGCACCCCATCTAGCACCAGTACCCTCCTAGTACACCCCAGCTTCACCTACTACCTCCCCCCCACCACCATCATCAGACGGCAACAGTGGGGTGGATGTAAGTGTTCCTGGAATATTGTGTTTATCAGCAAAGGTAATGACTGTTGTTGTCAGCATGTACGACAAGTTTCCTGGTTAGTACTATGCTCTCTCTCTCTCTCTCTCTCTCTCTCTCTCTCTATCTATCTATCTTTATTACTATCTGTATTTCCTTATTTCCCTTATTTTCTCTCTGTCTCTCTGTTTATGGTTGTTTTTGTGTTTGTATTCGTCCTCTCTCTGTCTCTCTCGTTCGTTCTCGCTTTCACACTCTCTCTCTTCTGTGAAATCAAGTATGTGAGAAAGTTATTATGAGCTTTAAAAGGTTAACTGTACTGTAAGCGACGTGTAATGTATATAAACTGTATATAATGATTAAACTTATCAATCAAGGCTCAGTGATAATGTCTGAGGGTTGACTATACAGTTTAATATTGAGACCTTTACCAAAGACCCAAGACTCACCTGAAGAGACCAAAGACCTCGCCGACCATCCATCAGAGCCAATCCAGGTAAAGCTACCTGTCGCGTTGTTCCTTCTGACGGCTCGCATCACCCCGGCCACTTCTTGGTCTGACCCAAAGATTATCACACCTGACGAAGGAAGAAAAGAAGATAATTACACCTGACGACGGAGGGAAAGAAAATGATTACACCTGACGAAGGGAAAGAAGAAAGTAATTACACCTGACGAAGGGAAAGAAGAAAGTAATTACACCTGACGAAGGGAACGATCCGAGGATTATAACACCTGGTGCACACACACACACACACACACACACACACACACACACACACACACACTGATCCTTATAATACTGTATGGATGAAAGAGGATGAGATGAAAAGGAGCAGCCACACTGGAAACAGAGAGAGAGAGAGAGAGAGAGAGAGAGAGAGAGAGAGAGAGAGAGAGAGAGAGAGAGAGAGAGAGAGAGAGAGAGAGAGAGAGAGAGAGAGAGAGAGAGAGAGAGAGAGAGAGAGAGAGAGAGAGAGAGAGAGAGAGAGACGTGCATCACAACACAAAGAGCTATGCAGAGAATTTCAATTAATTAGGGGAACAGCATTATAGGAGACTAAATAATACCATTTTGTCTTATTTTTTCTCATAGTTTACTCAATTTTCTACCATAGACATGATTAGGTTAGATTAAGTTGAATTATCTTGAGTTAAGCTAAGTTAGGTAGAGATAGGTTGTTCAGTTATGTTAGGTTTCTTTAGGTTAGGTTAGGTTACGGTTAGGTAAGTTTAGTTTAAGTTGAGGTTAAGTTAGGTAAGTTTAGATTGGATTAAGGATGTGTTAGGTAAGGTTAGGTTTAAAATAGATCAGGTGAGATTAAGTCAAGGTGTCCCAGAAAGATGAATATAAGACGCGTTTAATGTTTCAGTGGAGGTCACGTGAATGTTTGTGTTAAACCACCAACATTGTCCTTACTAGTGGCAGACCTCATACATCAACAAGTGACGACAATGTTGCTGGTGTAATACGAACTTACACGCGATCTGTATGGAAACCTAACCTAACCTATAACGTATACACAAAGAGCTGGAACTTTCCTCAATACTTTCACTCCTTGTTGTATCATAAGAGTAAGCAAAGAAGGAGAGAGTCTTTGAGTAAACACTTATCCCCGTTACTGTGTCCACGACATTGATAAACAGCTGAGCCAATATTGTATTGTAGTTCCCCCTGATAATGGAGGAGGCAGTCATAGAGAATGGGGCTTCACCACGCTATAGAAAACGGATATTATATTGATACAGAAAATGGCCATCATTCCAACATAGAAAATGGCCACCATAACAATAGAAAACGGGGGTCGATTTGAGTACCGGCTACACTGACTCCTTGTTTACTGAAGAAACGACTTAGTGTACAGTCAGGTGTATCAACGCTAATGGGGCATCAAGCCTCTGGGATCCCTTTTCAGACATACAGTAGGCTATGTATGTATGTATGTATGTATGTATGTATGTATGTATGTATGTATGTATGTATGTATGTATGTATGTATGTATGTATGTATGTTTGTATGTATGTATGTATGTATGTATGTAGTTAGGTATGTATTGAGGTATGTAAGTGTTTATGTATTTATGCTAGTGTTGTGAGGAGAGGCAGGAAGTGGAGCAACACAACACAACACTCAACACGATGTGGACATTTGATGTAAATAATAGAGCCACTGGTTGGTGTCCTGCAGCTACCTGGTGGTGGTAATGTTTAATACCTGCCTGACGCGGTAACACACTCGTGGTGGGGGAGAGGGGGGGTGGGGGGTGGGGGGTGCAACGCTGGTGAAGGGAGTGGTGCTCGCGGCCAACATGTACATACTATGAACCTTGATCTATGATAGGAACACAGGTCTATGATTAAGTAACTCATCTCAACATTCACGAGCGACGATAGTAGTCACCGCCGGGAAACTGTTTTGTGGTGAGGCTCTTATCTTTGTCTGTCTGTCTCATTCAAACATCAATGCAAATATGTACATAAATATACAGTCAAATACATATTCCTATGTACAAACTCACGATCACAAGCCTAAAAATAAATAGACAGACAGACAGACAGACAGACAGACAGACAGACAGACAGACAGACAGACAGACAGGTAGACAGACAGAGAGACAGAGAAACACACACCACAGTCGCCACAACACAGCCAGTACAGTAACACCCATCCACAAGACACTACCCCCTCCCCAGCTGTGAAAGTCTACGGATATGACGCACCACATTTGACTACCTCACGGCTGGGAGGACGGGGTGAGTTACCATAAGTTCATCAGCTGTTGTAAAGGTGACGTTCACTTGTTCACTCTGCTGCTGTATATTGTTAGTGTTGTGTAGTGGATATTTTGTCGATTTAAATAACTTTTGTATTATAAGATGTTTGTAAAGGTTGTTAATGTTCGGGTGTAGTATAAGTTGAAGTATTGATAATTGATAAATGTACGCACGTAAATACCATACACACATACACACACACACACACACACACACAAAGGAAGTTGAGAATGGCCTTAGAATAACGCAATAGCTACCGTGTTGTATGTCAGTAAGAGGTAACCACGATGTTTACAGCCACTAAAGCTACCACACAACACTGAATAGTTTACATTGCAACGAGAAGTGACGTGAGAAAACTGGCTAACAACCTTGTAAAATTAATGCAAATCAAGAGTGAGTAATCCAAGTAAGTTTAGGCTAGGTTAAGTTAGGTTAGGTTAGGTTGTATCTGAAGTGGATGTTGTTGTGTGTGTTATTCTCACCGTGTAAATACATGAGATTAAATCCACCAGGCAACTACAAGTTGTCTCAGAAATATGAAACACACTTCCTTACCTCACACATTAACGTAGAGACAATGTGAATGATCTTAGAGTAAAGACGCCACACTTTGATCTTCTGAATCAACAGTCAAGCTTCAATCTTTAACCCTTTGAGGAGGATGGTCACAACTGGAGTCCTCAAGGGGTTAAAAAGTCGTCATCAAAGAGTTTAGTCATCGTCCTTTGTGGGTTAAACATTTGTCTTTAAGGGGGTTAAACATTCATTCTCTTAAACTATAGTCATTAAAGGGTCAAAACATTATCTTCAACTGAATAAACCAATACCCCTCCAGAGATAAACCATTACCCTTAGATAGAAATAACACATACAAAACATTTAACATAACATACACTGATGAACACATCCAACCCAAACAGTCTCACATAAACACATTAAAACAAACACTATATCCTGGTCACATTACCTCATAAGATCATCCTTTATAAAGTCTCAAGGCTGACTATTGTATTTTTCTCCCAACTTTTATGATTCTGGGAGGAAGTCACATTTATATTCACTTTTAGAAATCGTCTTCCTCTGAGTCAGCCGTCTTCAAAATGACTAAAATTGCGGAGCTGTTATCCCGTTTCTGTGAGATTATTCATAGCTTAAAGAGGTTAAAGACCATCATAAAAGCCAATCAGTTTACCAGTTAACCAATCAATCGGGCCAATCATGATTACTAACCTCTGGCACGTTGTTTCTGCATCAGACGCTGGACAGTCAGATCATAAGCGCCCTCATCAGCCACCCCGGAGTCCTTCACTAGTTTCTCTTTGACAGCGATGCAGATGTTGTTGTACGCCAGGAGCCCTTCTAGCTCCTCAAAGGCCTGTTGGGGTGAAAGAGAGAGAGTGAGTGTGATGTGAGGTTTAGGTGAGACACACACACACCCACACACACACACACACACACACACACACACCCACACACACACACACACACACACACACTGGCTAAAAGGGATTGTGTAGGGATAAATTGACTACCACAGACACAAACACTGGCTGGGAAGGATCCATCTTTGAAGACTGACTGCAAACACATCCGGCCATTGAACTTCAAACACATCCGGCCACTGAACTTCAAACACATCCGGCCACTGAACTACATCCTTAACGCTTATCCAGGCCTCCAAGTAGACGCATGGAGTCAAATTCTGCTTTTACTTATTTCATGGCAATATATTCGAGTCTCTCTCTCTCTCTCTCTCTCTCTCTCTCTCTCTCTCTCTCTCTCTCTGACAGCCCATGCCAGCGGTAAGAGGATCAGACTTTGCTATCGAGAGAAATGTGGAATCGAGTCGTATTTCAGACATGGTGTTGAGAAGATCGATATGGTGGTCTGTTGGAGGGGTGTTGAGGAGTGCGCTGGGGTGTGTTGAGGGCGTGTTAAGGGTGTGTGTTAAGGGGGGTGTGTTCGGGTTTGTTGGGAAGGGAGACAGGTGAGTGCGTTAAGGAGATGTGTTGGAGGGGGTGTTGGGTGAGTGTGTTAGGGTGTGTTGGAGAGGGTGTTGGGTGAGTGTGTTAGGGTGTGGAGGGGTGTTGGGTGAGTGTGTTAGGGGGTGTTGGGTGTTAGGTGAATGTGTGTTAGGGGTGTTGGAGGGGTGTTGGGTGAGTGTGTTAGGGGTGTTGGAGGGGTGTTGGGAAAGTGTGTTGGGGAAGAGTAGGAAATATGTTGGAGGGAATGTATTGGTAAGTGGAGGAGGGGGTGGAATTTGTGTGAGTGTCTGTATGTTATTGAAGTGTGGATCAGGTGACGTCACACAGGTAGGCGGAGGTGGAGGGGGGTAACATTCCACCTCAGTCTTAATGAGAGATAATCAAGTCTTCCCGAGAAATACTTTAGTAAATGAGGTTTAAATAGACCCAATAATGGTTCTTCTGGGGTACTCTTAATGACGCAATTACACGTAAAAAAAAAGAGAGCACTTTTTTCCATAAACGGGATTAAGGAGATTAAGAGTTAAATGGTATTAAAGGTTTAAGGTGTAAAAAGAGTTGTTGGGAAAAGTAAATTATTTTTTCCTGTTTTAGATTTCACTTACCAGACAGACAGACAGACAGACAGACAGACAGACAGACAGACAGAGAGACAGACACACACACACAGACACCAGACCGTCCACAGACAGCCATCTTTACTCCTCGGGATGGGAATAAAAAGAAATCATGTCGAGACGAAACTTGAATTTTGATATTCTATTTGGGTTTGTTGAGAAGGAATAAATTTTGGCTCTATTTTCGTGAGATTTCGAGAGAGAGAGAGAGAGAGAGAGAGAGAGAGAGAGAGAGAGAGAGAGAGAGAGAGAGAGAGAGAGAGAGAGAGAGAGAGAGAGAGAGAGATTTTAGTTTGTCCTGAAATATAAAGAAAAGGGGATTGTTCCACGTTACCATGGCGACGGATTGGTCTAAGTAGGTAAGGGTGAGTGAGGGAGTGAGTGAGGATGGGTGAGAGTGGGTGAGGGAGATGGGGGTGAGAGTGGGTGAGGGGGAGGGTGGATGAGATTAAGTTGGATTAATTATGCTGTCTTATGCGAACGTGACTCTTCTCTCACTGACTCACAAGACGGGAGGTGACTCTTCCCTCACTGACTCACAAGACGGACGTGACTCTTCCCTCACTGACTCACAAGATGACGACTCTTTCTCTCACTGACTCAAGACGGACGTGACTCTTCTCCTCACTGACTCACAAGACGACGTGACTCTTCTCTCACTGACTCACAAGACGGACGTGACTTCTCTCTCACTGACTCACAAGACGGGAGGTGAGTCACGGCTGGAGACTCATAAAGAAGAAGAAGAAGAGATATGAAAGGAATAATAAAACAAAATAAGAAAGAAAATAATAGGAAATAAATAGATAAACAGGGACTATTAAGAAGGAGGAGAAGGAGGAAGAGGAAGAGAAGAGGAGGAGGAGAAGGAAGAGGAGGAAGAGGAAGAGAAGAGGAGGAGGAGAAGGAGGTTAGATAATTATGACAGCAAGGTATTCGGTTTCTCTGTTATTTAAATGAGGACGGTAGATGAGAGAGAGAGAGAGAGAGAGAGAGAGAGAGAGAGAGAGAGAGAGAGAGAGTGTGTGTGTGTAATCAACTAAATCAAGAGTCAAGTTTCGTTCACGTTTGCCCCCGGAAATTAAAAAAAAAAAATAATGGCATGCCTCTGTATGTGTGTGTGTGTGTCTGTGTGTGTGTGTGTGTGTCTGTGTGTGTGTGTGTGTCTGTGTGTGTGTTTTACAATATCCTAAGTTAGACTCACCTTAATGCCGTAGTTAGACTCACCTTAATGCCGTAGTTAGACTCCTCGTAGATGATGGAGATATAGGACCAGCCCAACTTCTTGACGATCTCCACCATGGCCTTGACCTGGTAGTGGTCTGAAGGGATGGTCCTGGAGAAGTACTCGAACCTCTGCTTGTTACTCAACTCCGGCGAGGTGGAGAAGAAGCTGACCTGAGGGTGAGAGGTGAGGGAAACGTGAGAGGGAGGTGAGAGGGAGGTGAGCCATGTTTTGTTTGTTTTTTTGTCTATGAGAGAGAGAGAGAGAGAGAGAGAGAGAGAGAGAGAGAGAGAGAGAGAGAGAGAGAGAGAGAGAGAGAGAGAGAGAGAGAGAGAGAGAGCTATCTTGTGTGTCGCTTACATTCTCTCCGGAAATTGAAGAAGGCGAGTCCTGTCTGTATGTATGTATGTATGTGTTTGTCTATATGTGTGTGAGCGAGTGTGTGTTTGTTTGGATGTGTGTAAAAGAATTCATCTATGTATATCTATGTATATTTGTAAGGTTGTTTGTGTGTGTATATGTGTGTGTGTAAGAGTTTATACATGCATGTGTGTCAGTGCGTACTTATTTATGTATGTTATGTATGTTATATGTGTTTGTAAATACTGTGTAAATATAAGCATACATAGACGTAAGTATATTGTATGCGTGAGAAAAAATAAACATTTACCTGGAAAGAAACATTAGATATGCATCAATATAATAAACATTAATACACAAGACCAAATATAGCAACAGGTAGCGTGTGGGACTATCAGCTGTTTTCTGTTTACAAATAACAGCTGGAGGTAAATACACAAAGTGACACCCACCTCCCATAAAGAAATATAATTTTAACCCATATGTCTTGGTCTCCTAAGGCCTATATTAGCGTATGTTTTGCAGAGAAATAAAGAATTACTTACGATAATTATGAAGATAGAAAGACGTGGGTGGTAATAATGGTTAATGGTGATAGAGTATGACAATAATTAAGGTGATTTGGTAAATAATGTATATACTAATTGGTAACAACTCAGAGGGGGACTGTCTAAAAAAAATAGGTTAAAATTATACGTTATGTGAAGTAAGAGGAATTATACTTCATGGTTGACAGTGAAATAGGGGGGAAATTGGTTGACAGTGAAATTGAGGGAACGTGCCAGAGAGAGAGAGAGAGAGAGAGAGAGAGAGAGAGAGTCACATTTGCGGAAAGTAGCAACGTGCAATTCCTATTTTCCTCAGTATCCAATATATAAAGAAATATACGAAATATATACGAGGCAATATATTTCACCGAACAAAGACTCTGTACCACAAACACACGACAAAAACACAAACTGACAACAATAACAGAAATTTGAAATACAGAGCAGGAAAACAAATGAAAATCATGAAAATATTTTCCGCCATAACGTCAGGGGAGGAATTTTGTCCCCAGAAAGATTTATCAGGGGAAATATATCGGTTTGGGATTAATAACTAAACAAGATTAATAACGTTAATAAATGAATAAAAGATGAATAAATAAGTAGAAATAAATCAATAACATATGAAATTAATTATTGATGGATTAAATGCTGAATTATTTAGTGAGATTAATTCCAATAATCGATCTCAGGCGGGAACAAAATAAGGGTTTGATGAAAACGTCTCCCAAGAGGGATATTTTCCTGGAATTTAGGGGAGAAGAGGAGGTGGGAGAGAGAGAGAGAGAGAGAGAGAGAGAGAGAGAGAGAGAGAGAGAGAGAGAGAGAGAGCGTCCACTAACTAACTCTCACAAATTAATTTCTCAGCTAAAAGAAGTTTGTTGATAGGCATGAGAGGCCGGGTGGGCGGACTGGCTGGCGGGCAGATCAGCTGTTCGGGGGTAAACACACACAAGGCAGCTTTTATCATCATGTAAACACGCCTCAAACTCCTCGTCCCAAGTTTTAATTTCTTCTGGCGAGTTTTTTGACCTTCATTAAGAGCGTCAAAGGTCTTCTGTCTCCTCCTGCACCACCTGCTGATGACGACCTTCAGGTAAATGTGTAGGTTTTTACCATTAATTAGTTGTATGGCTCACCTGAGGATTAGACACCCCTACCTTGTTACACCTGAAGATGAGACACCCTACATTTATACCTATGGCGGAAATTTACTTTAACAGAGAGAGAGAGAGAGAGAGAGAGAGAGAGAGAGGCACTGGGCGTCAACCAAAATACTCGCCACAGTTGACAGAGGATACCGCTCCTGGTGACGGTCCTATGGAAACCCTTAACCTAACCTAACCCATTATACCCAGCCAAAACAAAACATACTCTAACCCGCAAATTTAGTGGGAATCTTCGGGTACAATTTCGGCTTCATATCCAGTTGTCAATATATTCTTATCTAAATTGACAGCCAAAGTCATAACAGGTATAGATGATTCACTAGTTACATTCTGACTGCTCTGTGTGTGTGTGTGTGCGTGTGTGTGTGTGTGTGTGTTTGTGTGAACGATAAATCATTCTCTGTGTTGCCAGGAGTTAAAGTCAATACAGCTCCCCCTTTCACGAGTCAGACCTAAGTTGAATGATATTGTTATAGTTGTATTATCGGTATTCTGTCATTAATTTTCAATATTTAAAACTATATTAATTCTTTCTTGCAATATTACCTTCGCCTCACACTCGGTCTAAGCACTTTCACCGCCTCGATATTCATTTGTACCTCATTTATAACGTGTACATGATCGCTGCTTTATGAAATTCTTGTTCCATCATATATCTGAGGGAAGAATGTGAATTACGCTCGAAATGAACAGCGAGATGACGCATGGAGAGAGAGATTGTTGATGTTTGTAGACGCGTTCGCGGATTTTAAACGGATTATGAGACGAACGCACCGCTGGTTACGTGTCTTTGTTGTTGTTTATGGTTTGGTAAGTGCTTCTTGTATGCTTGTGTCTTTCATGTGGTTTTGCTTTATGAATAAGTATGTATAAAGTGGCATGAATTAAGTCTAAATACATGTTTAACATTGTCCCTTTATGCACGATACGCTACTTACACACAAGGCAGAAATCACCACACACGAGACAGCCATCACCACACACGAGACAGCCATCACCACACACCAGACAGCCATCACCACACACGAGACAGCCATCACCACACACGAGACAGCCATCACCACACACGAGACAGCCATCACCACACACGAGACAGCCATCACCACACACGAGACAGCCATCACCACACACGAGACAGCCATCACCACACATGAGACAGCCATCACCACACACGAGACAGCCACACCACACACGAGACAGCCATCACCACACACGAGACAGCCATCACCACACACGAGACAGCCATCACCACACATGAGACAGCCATCACCACACACGAGACAGCCATCACACACACACCAGACAGCCATCACCACACAACACACGAGACAGCCATCACCACACAGAGACAGCCATCACCACACACGAGACAGCCATCACCACACACGAGACAGCCATCACCACACATGAGACAGCCATCACCACACATGAGACAGCCATCACCACACACCAGACAGCCATCACCACACACCAGACAGCCATCACCACACACGAGACAGCCATCACCACACACGAGACATATTTACTCTCAGTTCAGTCATGCACACTGCTGCTTTCCGTGTATCTGTCTCCCCTTCACTACTAATGAATCCTTCACCCTATCCTTCCATATCCTTCTTGATCTTGCCTTCATCCTTCAGTCCTTCAGTCACCATAGTCTTAATCACCCCTTGTATCATTCGGTGCGTCAATGCTTAATCAAAACACCTTCACTCTTCTTACTTGACAATAAACTTAATGCTGTTCCTATATGACCTTAAGAATTAGCTCCCCAATTTAATTCATCTAAAGATACACCCGAATTTGTGGGTGTATGGGGAGATAAGACGGTGTTGGGGAGGTTAGATGGGCATATAAGGTTTTTGGGGAGGGGTGAAGAGGCTAAAAGGGGAGAGATGGCGTTGTTGAGGGGGGTGCGGTTATATGGGGAGAAACAAAGAAAGCAATGGGGAGTAAAAATTCATCTCAGCCCTAATTCCTCCCCTCAGGCCTCCTTTCACCCCTACCCTCCCCTACCCTCCCCTACTACCACACCCTGCGAGATTGAAAAATAAAGTGGTACAGGAATTTTTCCGTCATGTTCAATGTTGGGGAGAAAATAGGGAGCTGAGGAAAATAATGCCCAATTTCCTGGGTCTCTGATGGGGTGATTACGAGATATATTGTCCGCCCTGGGGTGAGGAGGGAGAGAAAAAAAAGGGAGATTATGGTACTGCATCTATTTCATCTGTTGTTTTATGTATTTTAATTGGTGAAAAAATATATGATGATATATATTTTTGACGTAAGGATTTTGTTGATGGCTTATGTGATATAGTTAATATTTCCTATATATTTCCATTGGTATCTGTTTAACTATTTGTTTAAGATATATTAGTTTCATTTGTATATTTCATCTGATTATATTTTAATAGTGGGAAATATTAGATTTTGTATTGTATGGCCAGACTCACAAAAGCCGGTTTTTTGACAGAGACAATATGCAGTGTATAGAAAGACAGAGAGACAGATAGACAGATGGATGGATAGATTTTCAGTAAAATCTCCATACAAATTAACATTTGGTTAATTACGATAATGATAATTAATAAATGAAATATGCAAATAGAACTCAGCAGGAAGCAGAGATAATCTCTCTCATCATTAGTATTCACTCTACCATTCCTCCTCCTTTCCATTATCATATTTCCTCCCTTTTCAACCTTTTCCTCTGAAGTATTTTTCCTTTCTATCTGATTCCTCGCTTCCATTGTCATCCTTTTCCCCCTTTGGCCTTGTTTCTCTTCATTATCTCTGCCTCCCTGTTCATCACCACCCACTCCATGTCATTAATTTAATCTGTTTGTTGGTCCAGTATTTCTTTGTTTGCTCTCTGTTGTATATATTGCCACTGAGGAGAGAGAGAGAGAGAGAGAGAGAGAGAGAGAGAGAGAGAGAGAGAGAGAGAGAGAGAGAGAGGAAAAGTAATAATGAATGAGGAAATGAGATAGAAGAGAGGGAGAGAGAAGGATATAGTCGACCTTTATTGATGTTTACTGTATAATAATAGTAATGAAAATAATAACAACTTACAGTTCATTCATTTATATATACAAGATGAAGACACTGTTGGATACATGTATTAATATCAATTGACCTTGGCATCATTTCTCCTGACCTGACCTCATCTCCACATGACCTGACCTGACCTCAGCATCATCTCTCTCTCCTGACCTGACCTCACCATTATCTCTCTCTCTTGACCTGACCTCATCCCCACATGACCTAACCTCATCCCCTCATGACCTGACCTCACCATTATCTCTCTCTCTTGACCTGACTGGGAGATTAACATACAGATAACAATAATCTTTCATCGTCAGTTTAATGATGACCATCAAAAAATGTTCCAGTCTTTTAGATACTCGAGTGGACTCATCTTTGTTTAGTGAATCATTTAATGTTGACTTCACTTAGCGAACCTTAACGCGGTAATATCAACAGGAATATCTGGGGATCATATGAAGATTAGCCCCCCAAAACAGTTTATTTCACTTGATGATTAAACAGCCTTATGCTACCTCACCTGGTTACCTAGAACTCTCACCTGGCCACCTTGAACTCTCACCTGGTTACCTAGAACTCTCACCTGGCCACCTTGAACTCTCACCTGGCCACCTTGAATGTCTCACCTGGGGGATCTTGAAGAGCCTGAGGAGGTTGGCTACCTGGATGGAGGTGACGGAGGAGGCGGCGCCCACCACCCCAGAGATGACCTTGTTCCTCACCTGGGGCGACGACCCGTCCCTACACTTGTACTCCCCGTCGTCGATGTTGCTGATGGAACCTGAAGGAGGAAGAGAAGAAGTGTGGTTAGTGGTGTCTTATTCTCTCTTTCTCTGTCTCTCTTTATCTTTCTCTGTCTCTCTTTATCTTTATCTGTCTCTCTTTATCTTTCTCTGTCTCTGCCTATATGTCTCTTTTCCTCTTTCTCTGCCTCTGTTTCTGTCTCCTTCTCTCCGTCTTTCTTCTGTATTTGTCTCCCTCTCTCTTTCTTTCGTTCTCTCTCTTTCTCTCTGTTTGTATCTCTTTCTCTCTATCTCTTTCTCTCTGTCTGACTGTGTTGTCTGTCTAGACTTACAGGTTATTCAGGTAATTTTTCAAACCCGTTATACACAAAAGGTGACACTCAGCCTCAACACTTAATTGGCCCCCAAAACATATAAACGATCCATTAATACATCTAACATTATCCTTTCATCCTTATATAAACAAATATTAACTAAACATTTCAAAAAAACATCATTGAAAAAATACTCTAAATATGGGAAAAAATGTATGAAATATCACTAACTCAATTGAGATTCTTTCATCATTTTTTGAGTATCAATAAAACACAAATTAAAAAAAAAAACGTATGCAATATGGAACGATTGATTGATTTATGTAAACAAAGTAAGATTAGTTGTTATCATCAGTTGTGATTTGATTGTGTTTATGTGATTATGTATCGTGTAGTGTTGTTCGGTGTGGGAAATAGTGTCCCCACACACCCCACACACCCCACACACCTCCCCCACACAACACTCTACATAACACCTCCCCCCACAACACCTCCACACAACACCTCCCCATGGCCAACACCCCCACACATAACACCTCCCCCACACACACTCATATAACACCTCTCTACACAACACCCCCCAGCATAAAACCTTCCGCACACCCCCCACATAACACCTCCCCACACCCCCAGAGCATGAGTAACACCGCCACAAAGCCACAATATAATCATGGCAAGGGTTTCAGCAACTCACACTTATGATCACCATCTATACAGCTTCCCAGTCAATAATACGCCATAGAGGACTGAACCCTGCAGACACCTGAGATGTACAGATTGTGACTCACCTGAAGATTAACCACCCTAGTTTGTTTTACCTGAAGATTAGACACCCTAGTTTGGTTCACGCGATGATTAGACACCTTAGTTTTGTTCACCTGAAGATTAAACACCTTAATGCTAACCTAATCTAACTCCCCAGGTAGAGTTAGAGTGTGTAATCATCAGGTGAAATAACATTAGGGTAGGTAATGATCAGGTGAGCTTACTTTTGCTTACATATAATTTGCATACATGATCCAATCCGGTAAAAGATGTGGTGTATTATAATATGTTACAGGATGATATATAATGGTTGCTGTGTTCGTTATAGTGAAGTCAATTTTGTTATATTTTATCGAGTCTATCAGATGTATCGCTTAATATATTGTGAGCGAGAGACAGGAGATATATCACGTTCTTTAAGAGATAGTGAGGATTAATATAGCCTAGAGAGAGAGAGAGAGAGAGAGAGAGAGAGAGAGAGAGAGAGAGAGAGAGAGAGAGAGAGAGAGAGAGAGAGTGGCTAAAAGAATTCCACCCCAACCTTGCAGACTGGCCAGACGAAATAGATTTTTCCCCGGGTAGGCGTGTGGAGGCGCGGATCAAGAGGCGTGTACGTGATCTCCAGTACCCAAGGGAAGTGGGTTCGTCCCCCCCTCCCCCCTGGCCAGGAGTTTAGGTCTTTTATGAAATGCAATTGGATAATATCTTGCAGTTCTCAGTATGACTCTTGGGAAACTGTTATCTCTCGAAAGACAATATATTTCCTGATAATAATTCACCCTCCCCCTCTCTCTCTCTTTGTCACCTCATCTCTCAGTGGCTCTCCGTCTCTCGGGCAGGTCAGCAGGTCAGGTCAGGTTGGGTCAAGTCAAATTACGTCAAGTTAATTTAAATTAGCTTAAGTTAGATAAGGTTAGTATAGTTACAGTCAGGTTAGGTTATGTCACGTTAGATTAGGTTAGGTTAGGTTATGTCAGGTTAGGTCAGGTTAATATTAAGGTCAAATAAGCTCGGGGTAACTGACCTAAACTTTACGTGATGCATTTTTGGGGGATGGAAGCCAGGCAAAATATTCATAAACCACCTCTCATAAATCACTCCAGGGTCCATCAAACACTCATACACACGTCACCACTCGCTCTGCCTGTATCATGATGGAGAAAAACGTCACCACTCGCTCTGCCTGTATCATGATGGAGAAAAAAAAAAAACCCTCCCGTGATTCCTCCTTCCCTCTACCCCCCTTACTCCTCTCCCTCCAGGTTACCCCCTGCAAACCCCTCTTCTGTTCTCCACTCTCCACCCACCCATCCCTTCCCTCTCTACTCTCCCCATCTCACTCCCTCCCCGTCTCCTTCCCCATCAACATTCTCGTCTCCCATCCATCCTCCCTTGCCTCCCCAGCCCACACCCGTTCCTCCTCACGTCCCCTCACCCCTCTGCTCGCCAAAGTTTCATTATCTGTGAAGATGTCCATTCATATACCATGACTTATGCGCCTGGGGTAGCACTCGGCGACACACACACACACACACACACACACACACACACACACACACACACAAACACACACACACACACACACACACACACACACACACCACAATAATAACACACACCACCTCTAAAAAACCTTTGGTAGGTGTGAACGAAGGTGATACTACCACCACTTTTTTCGACAGGTAACAGAGTGTAAGCGTTCCCGGCGACCATCTAAGAGTCGTGAGTCTAGGAATGGCTGGAAGGTCAAGGTATTAGAGTGAAGACAAGACGAAGGTACTGGGAATTACAACAGCGAGGAGACTATCTATAGGAAACTTAACCCTGATTATGGTTTCTCTGGTGGCTGACAGGTTGTGATTACAGGTAGGTGAGGTTGTGTTGTAGGTGTTGGTGACAGGTTGTGATTACAGGTAGGTGAGGTTGTGTTGTAGGTGTTGGTGACAGGTTGTGATTACAGGTAGGTGAGGTTGTGTTGTAGGTGTTGGTTGACAGGTTGTGATTACAGGTAGGTGAGGTTGTGTTGTAGGTGTTGGTGACAGGTTGTGATTACAGGTAGGTGAGGTTGTGTTGTAGGTGTTGGTGACAGGTTGTGATTACAGGTAGGTGAGGTTGTGTTGTAGGTGTTGGTGACAGGTTGTGATTACAGGTAGGTGAGGTTGTGTTGTAGGTGTTGGTTGACAGGTTGTGATTACAGGTAGGTGAGGTTGTGTTGTAGGTGTTGGTGACAGGTTGTGATTACAGGTAGGTGAGGTTGTGTTGTAGGTGTTGGTGACAGGTTGTGATTACAGGTAGGTGAGGTTGTGTTGTAGGTGTTGGTGACAGGTTGTGATTACAGGTAGGTGAGGTTGTGTTGTAGGTGTTGGTGTCCCTTAAGTGTTGACTAACCAAGAATTTGTCGCTCAAGGAACTATCCCAAACTCGTTGATGTTATGATGTTGTTACTGAAGTTCAACATGTGAGGTCTTGAAGCGCGTGGTAAATTTAATAATTACAATAGCTCTTTAATAATTAAGTCTTATGAGATATAGTAAACGGAGGTAATTACAGGTAACACACACTCTAACACAGTCTTATGAGATATAGTTAACGGAGGTAATTACAGGTAACACACACTCTAACACAGTCTTATGAGATATAGTTAACGGAGGTAATTACAGGTAACACACACTCTAACACAGTCTTATGAGATATAGTTAACGGAGGTAATTACAGGTAACACACACTCTAACACACACACACACACGGTAACAATTAACAGCATCAACTGACAAGAAGAACTAACACTGGAGACTTTCAGGGAAGAAAACTTTTCCTTTAAAGATCTGTAGTGAAGCGGTTTCAGGGCATTTCAGGCAGTCATTAGTGATAAGTGTTGCCTGAAGGCCCTTAACATGAGGGAGTGTTTGAGAACTGAAGAGAATGAGAAATATCGTGAGAGTTTTAAGACCAAGTTTCCTGTTCATGAAAGATGTGGGGCAGTGAGGAGGAAGATGGGGGAGGGGTAGTTATGAGAAAGATGCCGGGGAAGGGTAAGTGGCTGTATAACACTTGATACTGGTCCTTATGCACACACTGAGGCGCTCCCTGGTGTCAGATCTGTCAACTCACACGTCAGCCACCGTCAGCCATCAATAGGGGATATACTGATGGATGTTAGGGTGTCAGGGCCATCAGCTGATACGTAAGGGTAACAGAGTGTCAGCCCGTCAGCCTACACGTCAGCCAACACTATAAAAGATGCCGAAGTTATATAGGAGAGACGGCAAGAGAATGCTAACCCACTAACCCCTTAAGTGAATTATTATGCAACCCATAACTCCTTCATCGACCTTATTGACGCGTCTAGGGGTGGGCCAAGAGAATGTTAACCCAATGTGATCATTAGGTGAAATTTTATGTGAAAGTCAATGGCGTTAACAATCATATTGCAACACAGGAGGAGGGAGGCAAGAAGATGCTACCCAACTATGACACTAAGGAGGAATTTTATGCGATCTTCAATGCCATAAAGGATCGTATTATGTAGGTGAGGGATGGGGGCAATACGATGCTTATCACCAACGGTGCCATAAAGTCGAATTTTATGACTTTAATTCCTACTTCAGAATATCAACTTTACTATGCACAAGAGACGGGGGTAAGAGGGTGCTAAGCCCAAATCATTATTTAAGTTTGAAATTCACGACCTTTTACTGTTAAGAAAAATCTTTAATCTCCTAAGGAGATGAAATATGGCGTATCATCTTTGTTTTCAAGGAAGAGATGATTAGTCAAGGAAGTGCTATGCCACGTGTGGATCTATACGCACGGAAATCCAAACTTGATTCAACCTATAAAAAAACCTTATTGATCCAAGAGATAAAGTATAGAATATCACCTCTCCTCTCACAACGGGGGAAGAATAGGAGGAGAACGAGGGAAGAAAGTGTAAACCACAGTAAATTTAAAAGGTCGAA